AGAAAAATTCACTGACCTCAACCTGATTCGCTACCAAGATAAATTCTTCCAAGTTACACAACAATACTGTGAGCAAAATGTATTCAAATGTTTTGCAAATCCTCTCAACCATACAATTTCAAATTCAATCAGGGTCAATAAAAAACCAATGCCAACTAAAGAAAGAAATCGCTGGCAGCTACTCTTGGGTGGGGCGAGGGGCAGTGAGAAAGCCCTCTGAAAGCTCATTGTGGGCTGGTAAATGTCCCTCACTTTTTTTTTTTTTTTTTTTTTTTAGCTGTAGATAGACACAATACCTTATTTACCTTTGTGTGGTGCTGAGGGTCTAACCCAGTGCCTTCCCCGTGCTAGTGAGTGCTCTACCACTGAGCCCCAAACCCAGCCCCAAATTTCCCTCACTTCTTCACAAGGGCATTTCAAAGCCAGGAAAGCTATCCGAGGGCCCTTCGACTCTAGCCCATCCTCCCGGGCAACGGTTTTACTTATTCATTCCAACATACAGACCCAGCGCTGCTATTTGAACAGGATGAGGGAGGCAATGCCGCAGCTCAGCAGGTGTAATGCCTCAATCAAAACCACATTTTGCCCGTTTATTTTATTTTTTTTTTTAGAGAGAGAGAGAGAGAGAGAATATTTATTTTTTAGTTCTCGGCAGACACAACATCATTGTTTGTATGTGGTGCTGAGGATCAAACCTGGGGAGCACGCACGCCAGGCGAACGCGCTACCGCTTGAGCCACATCCCCAGCCCTCCCTGTTTAATATTAAAAGCACCCCCAAGTAACCTGCCCTGCAACACAGCTTGAACCAGCCATCAGGATGCCACCCAAGGACATGGTCAGCATTTTGGGGCAGGCAGGCACACACCCTGCTCCAGTGACAGCAGCTGTCCAGGAAACCAGGCCTTATTTCACAAACACCATGGGAAGGATTCTGGTCAATCTTTTCACAAAACCACCTTTTGCCACTGGGTTAAATACTGGCATTTCTAGATAGAGAAAAAATTTTTTGTGGATCTGTGACTCGGTGAGCACAGAGGCCAATGCTCCCGAGCTATGTGCCGACAGGTCCCGGCTCCACCAGGCTCAGGCAGTCTTTCCCAGCCACGAAAGGCTCATGCTGAAAGAGCAGGGGCAGAGCCCCCGTCCACTCCTGCCTCGGCCTGCCTCACCACGCTGCAGAGGCTCTGTAGAGAAGGCCAGCCCACGCTTCCTCCCCTGGACTCTGTCCTAGATTTCTAAGCACACAAATGACCACTTTTCAAGACCCAGGCTGAAACCAGACAAGGTGGTAACTTAGTCATCTCACAGTCATGAGATGGGCAAAGAAAAAGACCCTCCCCTCGTGGGAGTAAGCCCACTATGTCCTTGAGCTCTGGAGACCTCATTGTATGGAGAGGGCCTTGAGCTGGGTCAAGAACAAGACTCCAGGCCAGGTGAGGCTCAGAAGCAGTGCATTCACCTGGCTTGTGCCAAGCTCTGGTTCCAACCCAGCACCACAACTTGTTTAAAAAAAAAAAAAAATCACACACAAGAAAGAACAGAACTGATCCTAGGGTTAAATTCTGAAAAGGTTTAAGAAAGCAGATCCACGTTTCCCCTCCTTCATTCACACTCCGCCTTGTGAGAACAGGGCCCGGGTGAGCTTTTATTCCAAGTGGTCTCCGCGTCCTCCAAATGCTCTCATTTACTAAGGCTGACCATCCCTTGAAATGTGCGCTTACCTAAGAAAGAGGCAATGTTCTCAATCTGAGACTTCTCTAGGGCTTCCACTTCCGTGCTCTTCACCTGAATTCTGCAGAGACAGAAGGGACGGCTACACGCTACCAGCCAAGGCCACAAAGACATTTTCAAACATGCTTCTCTTCAGATGACAAAAAGAATTAAATTCATTTTCCTCCTCAACCTCCCACTTACACCAATAGTAACAGCCAACTAGGAATTCCTCTGCCTGAGGTTAGAGGCAGCGAGGACCCTGGTGGATGGGTTTTGTTTTTTTTGCTTCCCCCCCCCTCTTTTAAGATAGAAAGGTTGGCTGGAGTTAAGAGTAAAAATGAATTCAAATTGTGACTTTTATGAGGCAAATCCTACTTTCAACTGCACAAATAACTCCTTTGTTAGGTTTTCAGAGTAGGTTATGTCACTGACAGCTGTTTACAGCCCAGCAGGCGCGCTTCAGTTTAAAAGGATGTGCTTTCCTTGTAAGTCAGAGTATTCAATTACTGCCCAGCAGAAGGGAGAGCGAGCTAGGGGCCAGGCAGGCTCAGGAGGCAGCTCTGCAGACACAGGAAGGAGAGGGCAGGGAGGCCTCCCCAGAGAAGAGGAAGAGGACTCTCGGACTCTGCCATCGCCCTGAAGGTGGTCCACACTGCTTTACCCGCAGGTAACCAAGAGCAGAACAAGCAACACACTGCCCCACAACCGTTTATTTGCTTTTTCCAATGCAGAAAAATAAGTTTCCTATTGGTGTGACAAGTTCAAAACCCAAACGTTTCAAAATTCTGGAGTCTGCAACAAGACCCACTGATCTGTGGGAAAGAAATACCCGTGTGGACCCCCCCAGGAGAGCTGACCCTGCACATTGCTCACGTTCTCGCAAGTTTTGTGCCATCTCTTTCTAAATGGCACACATGGTCTCATTTAGACTTAAGCTTCCAAACAGGCATATAATAAAACCAGTTGTCCTCCAAGGTTATTAGGAACACTCCTTCACGAGGTTAATACTGACTGAGGGAGGAGTTCATGAGCTCTCAAGAGCGGACTTCACTGTCAGGTAGGGGATCGGAAAGCCCACACAGAAAAGACTTAAAACATACAACACTTAACTTTTCCTCTAGAGAGAGTATTTGAACATCTAGAAAGAATTCCTTTTTTCTCTTATTTTTTGTTGAAGTCTCAGTTCTGGCCAAAACCTATGTTTGAAAAAAATAACAATCCTGGTTATTAAGACAAAATGAGACACAGAGGTAACAGGGTTACAAAGAAACCAAGTACTTCTCACATATGCAACCAAAGATTTCAAATGCCAGTCCAATTTCCTCTAATTCAGACAAAGAGACCAGTGGGCTTCCCAGCCCAAGATTCAGGCTCCCATCCACAGTGCCTTTCATGCTGCGGCAGGAAGGCACCCCAAACACCACCCCGCACATTACCACCACGAGCCTCTTGCCAGGAATTCCGAGTCAGAGCCCTATATGCATGTTTAAAGCTGTTGTTTTCCTTTTTCTTTCCTTTGTGTGTGTGTGAATAAATGACACTTCTGGAAGTAGACCCTTGTAAGCATTAGATCAAAACCCCATTATATGGGGAACGAGAATCCGTGCCAACAGACCCAGGCGCCAACTGTTCAGGTTCAATTATTTCACGGAAGCACTCCTAGGTATTGGTGCCTGATGAAGATTTTACTTGTCACCTGAAAGTCATTTCCAATTCCTGCAATTATAGAGTAACTGCTGTCACCTTTGCAGGCCACAATCGCCTTTCCCATCTGCAGAGGACGTACTTGGCATCCGTCATGATTTAGGCTCATGTGGTTAGTGGTAACGATTTGGCACAAAGTGCTTCAAGGTCTGATGCCCACGTGCCCTGCAACAGAATTTGCAGGGTGGTTTATAAAGGCATTTGCTGGCAATTTTCATGCAGACACCATCCTCAAGGGCACAGGTTAGCTCAGCTTATCTTCCACTAGACCACTCGGTTCCCTAACCAGGCACCGAGCAAACCGACAAACTGGCTTCAGTCACCAGGCAGGTGCCTGTATTTTTGGTTTTTTTCATAAATAAAATACAGCAGATTCCCTCCCAGCAGTTCTTCCCATACATTTTGAAAAAACTTCTCAATAAATCATCTCTACACTGAAGGCCAGCCTGTGACCTCCACACAAGGGACGGTTTAGGCAATAAATGCGTAAGGCCCTGCCTGGGTATGGGAGCTAACAGTTGACCACAGCACACAAAATCCAGAGAGAATGAATGTTCTTTCAGCTGCTGTATCCCCAAAAGGACGGGGACAGCTGCAGACCGTTCCCTCCACCCACGGAAGAGATGAGATGCCTTGGCTGTTGACAAGAAATGCAAAGTTGTTTTGTTTTGGTTTTTTTTTGGGGGGGTGCTATTTTACAGGGGGGGCCTCTGGCAGAAAAAAGGGGTCACTAGGGGAGGGGGTCCAAGCAGGAAGGGTGTTCACAGCAGATGTTCAAGCAGGACAGAAAGGGGTTTCAGGAAGCAGAAGAGGGGGTTCGTATCAGTGAGGAAAGGAGGGGACCCAGCAGAGAAGAAGGCTCAGGCAGCAGGGGGTCACAGACTCAGAGGAAGGGGTTTCGTGGCAGAGGGGAGACTCAGGAAGCAGCAGGAGCAGGGCTCAGGGGGAGGGATGGCGGTTCGGGCAGCAGGGTCTAGGGGCAGCAGGAAGGGGGCTCGCTGCGCGCACGGCCTGCAGGCCGGCGGGGGCGTAGGCAGCAGTGACCGGCTCGGGAAGGAGAGGGAGGGTGGGGCGCAGGCAGAGAGGAGGCGGTACCGGCAGGAGAGGCCAAGGCTCAGGGAAAGGTGGGGTGCAGGCAGCAGAGACCCGGCCCCGGCACCGGAGGGGCCTCGGGCCGCAAGCGCCGGGCGCACGCCGCGGACGAACCTCCGGGCCCGGCCGCCCCTACCCCAGGCCCGCCTGGGCCGCGCCGCCTCAGCCCCGCCCGGCCGACCCGAGAGGCGCAGCGGGCCGCGCTCACCGGGCGCCCCAGCCCAGGCGAGGAGGCCACGGCGGCCCCAACGGCGGAAGGCCCGCCCGCCAACCGCCGCCGCCCGCGCCCCCGCGCTCACCGCCTCCGCCGCCGCGCAGCTCCCCGCGGGCTGGAGGCGGAGCCTGCCTCGAGGCTGAGCCAAGCCCCGCCCCAGGTCCGCCGCTGTCCAATGGGACGCCGACGCCGCCTCCCCAACCCGCCCCCGCACCAGCCCAGCGGCCCGGCGCAGGCCACGCCCACGCCGTCGCGCATGCGTAGGTCGTCTTCGGGCGCCCCTCGGGTCGCTGCCCCCGGCGCCCGCCTTCCCGCGTCGCGTGCCTTTGTGTTCGGTCAGGCCGCGGTCGCCGACCCCAGGTCCCTGCGAGAAGACGGACGGGTCACCGCCGCGCTCGCGATGATCCCGACAGAACCTTCCAGTTCGGAGTGCTGCCCAGCCAATCCGGTCCACACCCCAAAGCCAGCACACCCGCCTGTGCCCACGACTGGGCCCCCAGCCAGCCGTGGGGGAAGTTGAGTGACGTCCACTGCTGGCGACAGGGCCATCTGGCCACGCAGAGGGTCCTGCAGGCCCAGGCGCTCCACCTGGGCCTGTGCCACAGGGACCAGGGTCCAGGCGCTGACCCTCTGGGGAGCCCTGGCCAGGTCCTGCCCCCGGCCTTTGGTCTGCTAGTGTGGCCAGTGCTCCAGGTGTGCCTGGCTCCCAAGTTGTGCCCAGGTCACTAGGGTCTAAAGAGAGACGAGGGATGGAGAGGTCAAGGCGTTGCTGCAGGTCTCCCTGGATCTCCTTTCCAGGCGGTCTGACCCAGCTGGGGCCCCAGGCAACTCACAGCCCCCGTGTGCTGGTGAGGGTGAGTAACCATCACCCGGTACTTGGCACACACTGAAGTGGTGAGAGCTAGTTCACCGCAGCTTCTTGCTGGCCAGGTCCCTGGCACTATTTCGGTTTGGGTCTCTTTGGGTTCCAGAAATGCAAAGTGACACCAAGTGGCCATCCTCCCTCCGGTTTTCTGAGTTTCCCACAGGGCTGGCGACAAAGGAGGACCTGTAATTGGACATCTATCTGTAAGGCTCAAGTGGGGACACACAGGCCGTGAAAGCTGGCGATGTAGATCAGTGTTAACAAGGTGGCGGGACAGCCAACCCTTTCCTGCCTAATTAGGGCCTTGGATGAATCAGAGCAGGGGTCGAGTCTCAGCTCAGAGGTCATTTTGATGTTCCACCTCAATCGTTTTTGAAAATACACTTGCACTTCTGGCTCAGACCATCTTGCTAGGAGTGGGTTTGCACGTAGGTTTTAATCTTTGATTTCGTTCATGGTTCAGTACACACTTAATACATTTTTCACCCCTCATCAGGTTAACAAAGATGAGAGGAGTGGCCTTGTGCAGTGAGACGGGCTGTGGAGTGCGGGCAGCTGGGCATGGGAGTTTCTGCACCTGGACATCTGTCAAATGCCTTCACTAAATGCAGACCCTGGGACCCTGAAGTCCCCACTCCAGGGGTTTACCTTGAGCACACGGTCAGTTGCACCCCGAGATGTTCCTGCAGGGACACTTCCTGCAGCATTGCTTACATCCCGGAAAAGATTTCCAACAACAGAGGATCAGCTACCTGAATGTGCTGTAGAGCTCTTTGCAGGACAACGGAAGCAACGGGAGCAGTGTGTCTTGGCTGTTTCCAGGGAAGAGTAGAGTTTTAATTTAGGCTGTGTCTGACTGGCAGGCAGGACGGAGCCCATGAAAGTGTATTCTCAGCAGTGCTGCCCATCACCGGTGCTGCTTTACAAGACCCTTCAGTGCAGCCGCAAGTCTTTAAACAGCATTCGAACGATGGTGCCTGGTGACAGGGGCTAGACATGCAGTAGTGAGGAAGACAGTACTTGGGGAGCTCACAGCCTGGTGGAGAAGACATCTCATAAAATACTGACATTTAAGTGCTTCATGCTGGCTCAACATGAGTATTAACTTGTTTAATGCAGTGTTAACCCCTGAAATGTTGGCATATAATTATCCCATTGTTTGGACTTCCCAGCCTCCAGAACTGTGAGAAAATAATTTTTTCTTCTGTAAATTACCCAGTCTTAGGTGTTTTGTTTCAGTAACACAAGCAGATTGAGATAACATCCCTCGCAGTCCTAGCCTGTTGGTTCCTTTTCATTACTGAGTAGTCTCCCATGGTTTGGGTACACCGGGACAACCTTCCCATCTTAAGGTCCCTGACCTTAATTGCCTCTGCAGAGGCCCTTTTGCCATGTAATGGGATGTATGCAGTCTCCAGGGATTGGACTCATTCTGCCCACTGCCTGGGGCTTCAAAGAAATCTGGGAAGGTCCCTCCTGCCCCACACCTGGGGGTCAAACATCCACACAGCTTTTCCTGGAGACAGGTGGTTGAGAGGGTTGTCTATCTGTAGGGCCACATGTGAATAGGGCTGTCTTTCTCCGGAGAAGAGGAGAAGGAATATCAGAGGACAGTAGCAACCGTGTCACAGCCAGACCCGTCTGTACCTTGCCCTGCAAGTATGTCACATCTCGGGCCTCCAGTGGTCCCAGCCAGTGACTGCCCACTCCTTGGACTTCTCGCCTGAATCTCTTGTTACCCATCAGTTGGGGATGACAGCCCAGGACATCAAGCTGTGGCAGTCGCTGAATCTGCTCCCAGAGCCACTCTTGATGTCAGGGACAGTGGGCAGGCTGGTGCTGTGGCCATGGCGGATAGTAGCCCTCCCCACCAGGGCCCTGTGCACAGGAGTCAGTAGGCCACCGGGCACTGGTGCCTCCCTGCCTGGCTGCTCTGAGGATCCTGCCGGAGAGCCAGAGCCAGGCTGCCATTCCTGGGTGCGTCGATGGTCCTGTGAAATGGGGAAGTCTGGTGCCCTGACGCAGGAGGCAGGGACAGGCCTGGGGAGGAAGGCCCCTATTCCTGAGTTGCTCGGCCAAGGCCTGCAAGGCTACGCTGTCAGCAAGCACCAGCTGCCCCTGCTGCCGTCTCCTTCCTCCTCAGTGCCTCTGGAGGCTGTGGCAGGCAGAACTCTACCGAGGTCCACAGTGCCCACAGCCTTGTGTTCCCTCTGCCCTGGAATATGGGGTGACCCTGTGAACATCCCTGCCCTGGTTGCAAAGGAACTTTCCAGATGTGACTTTGGTTCCTTTCAGTTGACCTTTAATTAGGGAGACTAACTTGGGTGGGCCTGACCTAATCAGATTGGACCTGCCAAGAAGAGCTTCTGTCCTTCACATTCTCTCTCTAGGACACCTCACCCCTCTGGTGGCCCAGCACAAGTCACAACTCAGGGGACCTTCCCTGAGAGTGCAGCTCTGGGTGCTGTGGTATCCCTCTGAACCCCCACCTGGCTCACACCTATGGTTGGTGACCCTTGGGCCATTCCCCTCTGTGTCGTCTCTTCTCGGGCACGTGGGGGCAGTCCCTGTCCCACTGTGCTTAGCATGGCTGAGCACTTGCTCTGGCCAGCAAGGTGTGAGCAAAGTCCATGGCCACCCACGGCTCCCCCCCAGCCCTCCTGCAAGGGACCCAATTCCGCTCCTGCGGGTGGCGGCCCCATTGCCTGGGTTCCAGAGCCAGCAAGTGGCCACTTGCTCCTAGCAGGTGTGGTGGGCAGAGGCCTTTCCTGGGTCTCAACCTGGGGGCTTGAGGCACACACGCTCTCCTACAGCCTTAGAGCCTGACGTCTGGGGTGGAGCTGCTGGGGGCTGCCTTCTGGAGGCCTTTTAGAAGGACACGGTCACTGGGTTAGGCCCACCCCTCACTTAGGCCACCTCATCTACCTGTCTGCAAAGACTTTGTTGCCAAATAAGGTGGCATTCTGAGGTGCTAAGTGACATGAAGGGGGACATGTTGTGAGTAAGAGGTGACCCCTGATCTTCGTCACTGCTGTCACCCACAGAACCGCACTGTGAGGGAGCCAGGGGCCCAGGCGCATCCTCCCCAGGACTCCCGCGGAGCAGTCCTGGGGATGTGTTGACTTTACCAGCTGCGTCAGGACTCGCCTTAGAGGTGCACTGGGCCTGTTTAGGAGAACACCTTGATTAATCCTGGGGGTGGCGAGGGGTGCCCCAGGACCTGGGGTTAAAAGGGCTGGCAGAGACAGCAGCCTCTTCTGCCCAGGGAAGAGCCAGCCAGCGCTGAGGAGTGGCGACCTGTGGAGGTTAAGACCAAGGCACCCTGGGGACAGGCAGAGAGCTCGGTGGCCTTGCGACCTGCACATCACCTGTGTGGGCCTCGGGGCTGCTCTGCAGGGACAGCAGGACCTGAGCTGGACCACTCAGCCGAAGGAGCATGGACAGGGGCAGGGAGCTTGCCGACCCCACAGCCCAGCCACCAAAGCCTGTGACACCAGGCAAACCCCAGGCAGCACCGTGCGTGTGCACCACAAGCCTGTCCCCAAGAAGACACTGATGTGACTAGGGAAGGCCCCGGGCGTTCACCAGAGGCTCCAGGAGCACCCAGCTCACAACGGAAACGACCAGATCCTGACACAGCACCTAGAGCGACGCGGCCGGCCCGGGGACAGCACCCGCCTTCCCCTGACTTCTCTAGTTTCACTGACGGCCTGGGCCCGTGTGGCTGGTGCTGTGAGACAGGAGCCAGGGGCTGCTCCGGAGGCCGAGGCCGCGGGTCACAAGTTCAAAGGCAGCCTCGGCGACTTAGTGAGGCCTGGTCTCGAAATCAAATGAAAGGGCTGGGGATGTGGCTTCAGAACTGTAAAAGAATGACCTTCTGTTGCTTCAGCCACCCCGTTTGTGGACCCCGTTTGTGGCACCTGGCTGCGGCCACTATTATGGGGTGAATCAGGGTCCCCTGAAGCTCCCACGCTGAGTCCCAGCCCTGATGCCTGAGCGTGTAGCTGTGCTTGGAGACGGTGGCCGGTGGCGATTCAGGTACAACAAGGTCACGGGCGGGCTCCCATCTGGAGGACGATCAGGACACAGACCAGAGGGTGGCCACGTGCGGACCTAGGGAGAAGATGCACTCTGCACGCCAAGGAGAGGCCTCGGGCGAGGCAGCCTGGGACTCCTGGACTCGGGGTGTTGGCCCCCAGGGCTGTGAGGCAGTACATCTCTGTGGCATGGACCCCCAGTGTGCTGCCTTGGGATGGTGGCCCTAGCAGGCAAATAGCAGCCAGTGGACCTCCTTCCCCTGCCAAGTTGCCCAGCCCAAATCCTCCCAAGGATGCAGCCCTGTTTTCTGGGACCACCCTCCAGTCCAGGGGGCCACCTGAAAGCCCTGCTGTGTCCTTGCAGGTGCTTGCAGGCCCCCTTCAAGGTCATTTCTGCCCGTGTCGGGGAGGACTGGAGGAGCAGGGACAGTGTGACCTGCCTCTGTCACTTGGCCCTGAACCCCTCCACCCTCCACTGGATCCTGCCTGTTCCTGCCCTGTGAGAGGTCAGAGGCCACCAGGGGCAGGAGGGAAAGAGCAAACTGGTCCACAGGCGGCTGCATGGCCAGGTGACTGCAGCGGAGGGGAGGAGGCTCCAGAGCAGGAACAGACGCGGGGTGGTGGGTCAGGGGGCTGCGCACCCCCAGGGCATCCTGGGAGGGCGTGAGCACCATGGCTATGACGTGACAGGAGTCCACCCAGTCAGCACAGCTGTCCACAGGGCTGTACTGCGGGATGGGCACAGTGGTGCCGACAGCCTGCCGTCCCAGCCATCCGGAGGCTGAGGCAGCAGGATGGCCTCAGCAAGAGCTTGAGACCAACCTGACCAACAGCAAGATCCCATCTCAAAGGAGAAAACAGAAACAAAACTGTGTCCAGACCCATCAGCACTGACCCTGCAGACTCGGGGATCCGCAGCAGGGATCTGGGGAACGTGAAAAGCAATGGGCAGACTCTGCCTGGACGAGCCCAGGAGGCCATGTCAGATCCCCAAGGCCTGTGGTCTGAAACCACTAAAAAATGATCACACGAGGCCATGGGTGCAGCCCAGTGGCAGAGCACTGGCCTCCTCGTACTGGCAGGCCCTGAGTTCCATCCCCAGCAGCGCAAAAATAAATGAAGTAATTATCCATGTGGACGACGGAATCAGAAGACAAATACCCAGCTTTCTCATGGTCCCTGTTGTGTGCATCTCTGATCCTTGTTTATTAAATACAGAAAACACTGAGCAGTTTTGTACGAACACAGTCAAACCACATGGCCGCCAGCCAGGAGTCCTCACCGCTGCCAGCTCACTGTGAGAGCAGAGGGCACGGGGTTTGGGATGAGGCTCTGGCTCAGAAAGTGACCCGGCTGGTGTGTCCCCCTTTGAGTGTCCCCACCATGGCCTCAGTCCTGGAGAGCCAGTCTCTGTCCCCAGGCCCCTGGGCAGCGGTGCTCCACGGTCTCTCTGCAACAAAGAGTCAAGGATTAGGCCCCGTTGAGTTTCCAGCCTGTTTGCCTTTGATTTTTTAAAAGCCTTTCCTTTTAACTATCAGGCATTTCAGGGCTGCCTCTCGGTGCATCTGCATTTCCAACAGCTCCGGGCCTGGATTTGTCTTCTCCCTCTCTCTCTGTTTCCCTGCTCAAGAGGAGCTTCCCCAGACACTGTGGCATCCGCCCTCCGCCCTCCGTTGGTTTTCTTCAAGGTCCTCTCTCATTGTTTCAGGAATAACTTTCTGGTTGGTCTGGAACTCCTGCCAGAAGGGCTGCCCACTCCTGCATCTCCCCCAACGGCCCAAGGATCACTGCAGAACCCAAAATTCTCAGGGTCACCCTAAGCCCACTCCATTTCCATCGCAAGACAAAGAGCGCAAATGAGGACTTCGGTGAGGAAGCCGGGCCTCAGTGGGCCAAGCCCAGTGGAGAGGAAGGGACGGTGATCCCCGTGCCCTTTATCCCCACCCCCACAGCCCCCAACACCTCCAGGCCACACCGGCCTCAGGCCTCCTCCTGTGGGTCATACACCCTGGAATGGCCTGTGCTTTGCCTGCCCATGCGGCCCTACCCAAACCCCAGCGACAGATCCTCCCTGGCTCCTGGGTCTGGCCTCCTCCAGGATGGTGGCTGCTGGTGGCCGTCCAGCACACAGGCTCTGAGACGGCCGGTCCACCTTGCATTCGTACTCCCGCACT